GGAGCGAAGGCGGCTTATTGAGACAGAGGTTGCAAAGTGGTCTTTTTCGGCACACAAATTCAGTGACGACGAACTCTTATACGCAGGTTGCGTCATGGTCAGGCATGCGCTGAGGCTGCCTGGTCTCGACCAGTGGCAGATTGATGAAGATCAGCTCTACCGATTCTTCTCTGCTTGCCGAAATGCCTACAACTCATTCGTGCTATATCACAACTTCCGCCACGCCATTGACGTCTTGCAGTCCACCTTTTACATCTTGCTTGTCAGTGGTATGTTGCCGCAGTACCCTGATGGGACGGCTCAGGAGCCTGTCAACTCATTGGCTGCGATCTTGACACCATTCGAGGTCCTTACCCTCATCATCTCGGCGATTGGTCATGACGTTGGTCACCCAGGAGTCAACAATGCATTTCTCATCAATCTCAAGTCGCCACTGGCCCAACTGTACAATGACAAGTCGGTCTTAGAGGCCTTCCACTGCGCAGCCTACTCACAGATCCTGCGCCGGCACTGGCCTGCAGCTTTTCAGAGCGCGTCCATGCGCAAGCTAATGATCACATCCATCCTCGCGACCGACATGGGTCTACACGGCGACTTTATGAACCACTTGTCCGCGCTGTCAGACAGAGTCGTCAAATCAACTGTTGACAGCTGGAGTCCGAATGAGTTGGAAGAGAATCAGCGGACTCTGTGCGGACTGATCATCAAGTGTGCTGATATCAGCAACGTCGTGAGTTACCGCTACATTCCGAAGCCCCCTACACTGTCAAGCAGCGGCTGACACCATCACAGGCACGGCAATGGACTGTCGCTGAGGAATGGACAGACATCCTGCAGCAGGAGTTCCATAATCAGGGCGAAATGGAGAAAGAGGTCGGCATGAAAACCGCACTGTTCGGAGGTCCCCCTGAACTTGGCAACGTCATCGAGCTGGCCAAAGGTCAAATCGGATTCATGGAGTTCTTCGCCTATCCCCTGTTTCAGGGCATCGGCTCAATGCTGCCAGGGGTCTTGCCTTGTGCAGAGGAGATCACCAAAAATCTGGCCATATGGCGCGAAGTCGCAAGCAAAGGTTCGGCGGCATCAGTGCCGCTGCTCAACCGCAAGCGGCCTTCGCCTGTGCGTGTGCCTTCGAGGACTCACACTCTCGTGCATACACCGCACGAAGATGCTATCCCAGAGGAAGAGGACCCCCCTCGGATAACGTCCCCGGTACCGGAGGAAAACCAGCCTGCTAGCCCAACCGCAGCAGCTGCTAGTCCGATGAGCGGGAATAGCGATGAGGCCGAGTCGCCAACCTCGCCAAAGGTTTCAAGCAGCTATCCCAACGCGCGAGAGCTCAGCTCTGCTACCTCTCCTTCCAACAACCCGTCCATCGCTAGTCGACCGAGCGAGACTCTGACGGCACCTTGGAGTTCAAGCACATTTGCAAACACCATGACGCCCATCTCTTGCCAGACCGAGTCAAGCAGCCTCTCCTGCCCAACAACCGCTGAAGGCGATGAGGACCGCAAAAGGCAGGGAGATTTGCCCAGCAGTTACCCTATGCCTCGTGTTCAGAGAAATAGTCCCCCGGACTATAGGTTTGGCGCGTCCAAATCCGTGGACCGTCTCACGACGAGCAACTACGAACCGAAGAATGCTGCGTCGACGTCACTACTACCACCTGCACCCATCCGTGACTCCAGTCAGCAGAACTCACTCGAAGACTTGCCTGGTGCCGCGGGCCGGTCACCATCTCGATTCACTTCGATTATGACAAGGCTGGGGACAAGCCCTCACAGAGGGTCGGCCAAGGCGCCGCGATTTACATTGGGCGGCGGAGGCGACTCGCCCGCTTCCTCTGTCGCGGGGAACCTGAATGTGCCACCACCAACGAGCTCTGCCAATGGCGCTACCCCTGGTGATGATGTGACTAGCCATTCGTCCCAGCAAAGCGACTCCAATAAGCACTCGGGTGGCAGCTCTCAGGCGCCTAACTCGCCCGGGCGGACTCTATCCAAGCGCATCAGCCGACTGAGGCTGGCGTTCTGGCGCAAGGGCAGCACCAAGACAGCTGGCGAGATCGAAACATGACAACGTCGTCTGCTGCCGTTTTCATGGCGCCTGGCGTACTTGTGGGCGATGGGTTTAGCTCTCCTCCGCGCTTGGCTGCAAAAGCGTTGGACTGTCCTATATGCTACAATCACGTCCATGGTGCCGATCTTTGATTGCTCGTGCCGTTTAAGCACAGGCACTGACAACAATTTCGAACGGAGTCGCCAGCCGTGCTTGAGCACACTCTCTAAGCCCTCTTACTGACGGTCATGGCAAGACATCCTCAGAACATAATCTGCATCTTTGCAACCTGGATCTACTCGCTAGGAACGTCTTGTGGGTTGGCAAGGCCATTGACACTGGGTCTCATATCACGGTCATGATCTAGCTGCACGTCCTGGACATCTTTGCACCGATCTTTCGAACCATCTCCAACTCATGTCACGCATTTGGTATAACTGGCATCACGAATGACGAATGAAGTCTCGCATCTCAAGTTGAGCAAGCATGTGCGCGTTGCAGGACGATGGTAGTCGACTAGTAGAAGTACGTAGTACATGCAGTGAAGTCTCTGAGCATCGGATCCCCATCGTCTCAGGCTCTACTGTTGAAGATAGTGCCTTCACTAGCTCTCCTCTTGACTGGTGTTACGAGTGGAAGAACGTGGTCCAACGGGCCGGCAATTGGCTAACATTTGGCGCTATTCCATGATTGCAATCACGTACTCTCGTTCCCCAGCAGACACCTGTCATTCCAATCTTGCAAACCACGAAGCCGACAGTAGATGTGACGTCCGCCGGCCGTTGTCGAGTAACCTTGACTAATGAGATGGCAGTTGCGATATGGTAGCCACCATGCATGACCATCGACAGCGTGCTGATGTCCGCTCCGCATTGCAAGACATCATTCTTCGCATGAGCTCTTGACTGAAGCCCCTCTTCCGCACGATGTCAGATGTTTCACTGGTTCTTCACGTCAGGGGCTAGCATGTTTCACCACCTGACCGCGCAGCTAGCGGCCGTTGACGGCTGCCCCTAGGAATGGTATCCGGTCTTAGACGAGAGGGGGTGGCAGTGCACTAGTGTTGTAGCCACGCGTTGGTCGAAGCGATGGCGGTGCTCGTTCGTCTCGGTCGGAAGTGAGCTTGATGCAGGGCAGTCCCGCCGGGACTACCCCCAGTAACCTTGCTAGCGTAAAGACGCCACATTGCAGTGTATACACGGTCAGTGGCGTTCGACCCCATTAGCAGCGTCGCATACTGGGCAGTGCAATAGCCGCTGTCAAAAGTAGAGCGGGGGATTTAACCGCCGTCGTGTGGTGAGACGCCACAGTGGGTGCCTGTAACCCCGCCACCCTGAGGGTTGCCGGCAGGCGCACTCAATCGATGCATGTCATACTGCGCAACTGGCCTTTTCCCACGGAACTGCGATGGCTGCCATTGGGCTGTCGTTGGCATGGTGGCGCGGGGCAGCAGGAGCATCTCAGCCCGGTTGCGCGCATCTAGCGAGTCGCACTAGTTGCCCGCTGTGATGAGACCGAGTCATTTGCACTTCTGCGCGGCCATGTCAGCAATTCGCCGGCGTCCTCCTGGCCGGTGGGACCCCAGCGTGGCGTCGCGGCCCGCGATGCAGCAGCTCGTAGTTTCCGCAATCACTAGTCGCCTGTATACGGCTGGCGTAGTGAGACGGTGGTGGCCTGGGCAACCGCCGCCGCGACTCGTAGCGTTATGCAAGTAACGGCTCGAAGGTTAGAAGCCATCGTAGCCTCACGACTGGTCTACCTGACTCGCCGTCGTCACACCATCTTGCAATGGCTCGACTGGGCCGTCCAGCATGATCCCACTGTCCTTCAGCTTAGACATCAACTTGTTGTAGGCACTCAAGATGCCCATGCCTGAGTGTGCCTGTCATGCTCGCCGGCTGTCAGTCCACGTGCTCGGCGCATACGCGGTCGTCGGAGTCTGGACTGTCACCTTACTTCAAGGAGGATTCCAGCATTGCGATAGAAATCCTTGAGGGTCTTCTCCTTTAATTCAAAGTCACGGTACTGCTTGTCAAACACCTGCTCGTTGAAGGCCTGGTCCTCGACGAGCCCCCTGCCGACGTAACGCGCCCTGGCTCGTGCCTTTGGGCATTTCAGGCAGATGACAACGTCGGGCCGTGGGAGCCGGCTGGGCTCGCTCTCGATGCTCAGCGCCTGGGAGAGGTCTCGCGGGAAACCCTCGACGACTATGCGTTCGGACCCCTGAGATATCTCCCGGTGAAGCTTTTCTTTCACGAGCCCGCTGAGCCTCTCGTCGAGAAGAAGCTTGCGCTTCGTTTGCAAGATTTGAGCAGCTCGATCGGACGCTCGTCGCGAGCTCTGTAGACACGACATCTGCCGTGTATACTCAGGCACCGAGAAGTGCAGCAGGCCGTTCTCGTCGGCGAGCTTCGCGCATAATGTCCCCTTCCCTGATCCAGGGGGTCCTGATCGCAGACAGTCATCATGTTGCCCATTGTGTATGGCCATCCTGGTCGCCCGACGCACCGTCAGTGCCACTCACCTATCACATACACCAGCAAAACCATGATCGAGACTCAATGACCTCGCTTGCTCCTCCAAACCCTCCAATGCGTGCACCTGCGAGCATGCGTAGCTGGCCTGGCTCCTGCAACGTCCTTCGGGTCATCATTTATAGGGCAATCAACGCGGTCGCACATGCCCCATAAGCAAATCAGCGCTCAGCAGGGCTTGCATTTGTGCCTGTCCAGCTGACCAGACCAGCCATACAGTGACGTCTGCGGGGGCGGCTGCAGGTGGAGGAGGCCACACGCAAGAGATGCCGCACCCGAGAGGCCCTCGCTGCGAACAGGATGCACCATGCGCGTCCATCCCTGCTTGCTACCAGCGGTGCCGACAATCACGACGCCGCGATCAATGCTACCCTGCACCCCTTTGGCGGCCTGAGGCAGGCAAAAATATGGTTGTACCGTGAATCGAACACGGGTTATGACGGAGCTGGAATTGAAGGGGGAAACCCAGGGAAACCACAACGTCATGTCCTAACCACTAGACCATACAACCCCTCCGAATCGGGGAATCGAACCCCGGTCTCCCGCGCTTGTGAACTGAGTTGAACAGTGACAAGCGGAAATCATGACCACTAGACCAACTCGGATTGTTGTGGGTTTTCCGTCTATATGCTATAAGACCCCGAACCGTACCGAGGTTCGAAGCGAACATGCAATCCTAGCCATGAGAAGTGAGTCGCGAATATCACTGACGCAGGGCGAGCCTGGGGGTCGACCAACTGAGTAAGATGACTTTCTCGTCTACATGGCGCGCCTTCATCTAGCATGAAAGCGTCCTGGACTATTGGCCTTACGCGAGGCTACGGACTGGTGCGATTTGCAGGTACCTGACCAGTCTCCTGAGCTAGCTGTCTTCTCAATGCACGTCATATAGATGATGCTGTATGGTATCTCGAAACAGGGAGTCATAAGTCATGATCACACTGTGCAGCCCTTCTCATGCGACCTGCACACGCCGTCTCACTTGGCCGGGCTCATCAGCTGGCCGCCCATCTGGAAACTCCAAAGCCTCCAGCGAAACTCCTCAAGCAGATCCTTTGGCACTATCAGTCCTAAGGCAGCATCGCTGCGGTCGGCCGATGAAGATGCTGCGCCCCCGGAATGGTCAAGCCACGCGAACAGCAGTCGCAGCTGATACAATGCATCTCGCACCACATCACCGCCGCAGCCCTGGTTGCTTTCCAGCGATTCCACGCTGCGAACTGCCTTGTGCAACATCAGCCGCACATCGACTGCCGAAGGTTGGAGCCATGTACGCCCAGCGGCACTCTCCAGACTGGCAGTGCCGGGAGTTGATGTTGATGCGAAAGTACGCGGCAGCACCAACGCCTTATCTGCAGCGTCAAGGTCTCGGAAGGGGGCGAGCGCGAACACCCACTCGCGCCAATGGCGGGTGGGGAACCGTGCCTGCAGAGGCTGTTTTCCGTGCCGCAGGATCAACGGATTAGCGAGCTCGTTCCGCAGCTGCACGTCATCCGCCTCCTGTGTCGTGTTCAGTATGTCCTGCTCCGCGCTAAGCGCGAACAGAGTCCGTCTGAACACGGTCATGTCCACAGCTGCGTTCGCGGAACGCCTTTGAAGGTAGACGGACTGGTTCCCTGCGTGCAACTTCTCTCGAATGGACTTGTCGCCAATGATGTCCAGGCATAATTCCCAGTGCTCAGGACTCTTCAGGAGCACAGACTGGAGCTGATTCAGTTCAGGAAGCAAGCAGGGTGCGACTGCTTGCTTGACTTCGCCTGACTTCAGATGCATCGTGATGGGCACGGACATGGCTCGCCTCGTTTCTGCGTCTCGAGGGATGAGGCACCTTGGCTCCGCTGCAAGCACCCACAGATGCCGAAGCGCTTGCAAGTGGCACTTGTTGTCTTGGAAGGTTTTGGGGAATATGGGATAGAAGGCGCATATCAGCGATGCAATGGCGAGGTCGGACGTGCCCAGCGTGAACGTGCCGCCGCCGAGGAACAGCAAGCCAAGAGCCATGTGTGATGCCATATGGGTGCCGAAGGTCTGGTCGCCGGTTACGCGACCATGCAGTGAACGAAGCCGTCGAAGCACGGGAACATCGCCGGTGCCAGCCATGACTGCGGCAGCAGACAAGGCCGTGATGTCCTGGCAGTTGCGCACAGCTTGTCGTGCCAGTGCCTGATCGTAGTTGTGTTCCGGCAGAGTGGAGCCGATGCGCTTGAACTCATCGAGGTAGTGTAGCAGGATATCGCGGGCTTCGATGCAACTGGATCCCGCGTATCTCAAGCCTAGCGCGAAGCAAAGACCGGCTATTATGTAGTATAGCACCATGTCGTCGCTGTGCAGGTTCTTGACCTTGCGTAAGCGGTACTGCTTTCGCAGCCTGGCAGGGACATTGTGCTTGATCCATGTGAAGCTGGCCGCGATTTCATTCCACATAACAAGGTGCTTGGCGAGTGTCCTGAGCAGGAAGAAATCGGGTCGGACATAGTCATACTGGGCCGGGGTGTCTGGTATGTCAATTCTGCTGGCAATGGTCGGATCGTTGGACTTCATGAACATCAGAGTCACGGCGACGATGGCGCCAGCGGTGGCCTTATCGCGAATGTGCACCACGTCCACCTCTTTCGTTCCCACAGCGACTGCCAGCAGTCGATCAACGATATGCATGTCCCTCAGGCCAATCAGCTCCTTGCCTTTGCCAAGATTGATGAAGCCGAGCGCAAACCCAGCAGCGAGTTGGTAACCTTCGTCGAGGAGCAGCTCTTGCGACAGGGCAGTGTCTTCAGACTCCAGACTCTCGATCTCGGACAGCATGACCTCACTCATACGGCGATGCTGGCAGCCACAGTACAGCAAGCCAATGCCGACGACGCCCGCGGTCTGCATGAGTGGTGACAGATTGAGCTCCGCCGATCCAGCAGGCAGCATACGTGTGACATGCACGCACAACAGGCGAGTGATGAAGGCATCCATTGTTCCCAGGAAAGACACCGACAATCCCAGGAGCAGCCCGACTGAGGTGGTCGTGTGTTTCGCCGTCAGATACTTGAACGCCACCCACTTAGCCAGTGTCCTTAGGTGGCCATTGAGTCCCAATGCGAACAAGAAGCCAGCGTGCCGGTTCGTCAGCTCAGGTGGTCTGTTAAACAGTATCCAGGAGGTGTCAATGCCCTTGACACTCCTCGAGATTGACAGGCCGGCAGCAACACCGTTGTGGAAAAACGCCCATGTAGCTCTCTCTTCCGCGAATGAGATCCTGTCAGCACTCAGGGTGACGTTGGAGGGCTTCACCACGCATTGAAGCGAGAACGACGGCATCGGCAGTTTCTCTGTAAGTAGCGGGACTCGGCTGCCGAACAGCAGCATACCCCTGCCTGCAGGGACGGACAACGTTCGGAGAGCCACCAACTGCGCGAGTGCCATCTGCATCTCCAGGTATCTTGCATCCGTCATGCCAGCTCGCCCTGCCTGCTCTGCAATGGTTGGCCTGGACTGATTGAGCATCTTCTCCGCCTCTTCGTAGCGGCGATCCAGTGGAAAAAGCAGCCGTCGTACTGCTTTGCGATCCGCCTCAGCAGAAACTTCGAATGCATCGGTGGTGTTGTGATCAGTAGCCAGCTGTCCGATTGTGCGAACATCGTGAGCAGCATCATGTGAGTACACGGCGAGAGTATCCAGCACGGGCGGTCCAGTGAAGTCCTTCGTCTGGGAGATGAGCAGATCTTGCCTGCCGACAAGAGTCAGGAGTCGCATGTCCCATCTTGACACTGGTCTTGCCTGAGCACGAAGGACTGCCTCATGTAGTGGCACCGAAATGCCATCGGGTAGTGTATCGATGATATCCGACGAGAGGCCCCAACGAAGGAGTAGTTCGACCTTCTCTGTAACCAAGCTCTTCATGCGCAACTCGTTCAGGAAGCCGAGAATCATGTATGTTCGCGGCGTCAGCTTGTGTGCCCATCGGTAGACCGCGGGACGAACGATCCGACCATCACCATCATCGACAGAGTCCATCAAGCTCTTAAACCGCACCTCCCCATGCCCGTAAGCGGTTTGTATGCACTCCAGGATGGAAGGGGGTCTGTAAGGCTGCGCAGGCGTGTCCAGGCCTGTTATGCGGAGATCTTCAAATGCCCAACGGCCCATACTGCCCATCTCCATACCATAGTACCCTTCTGCTTTCCATGTCCAAGCAGGCCAATCGAGCCAGCCGCCTATCTGAGCCAGCACGGGCCCCAGCAAGCCATGCTCAGAGTAAGGCCCTTCAGAAGTCAGGAGAGACAGCTTCTTCTCTTCGCGTAGGAGGTGCAGCGCCACCAGTATGGATGCTAGAGCGTTCTGCCTCTGTGCGGGGTCTTTGGCGATCGCCGTGGGCAGGTAGCCTTCAATGCCAGTGGCGATCTCACCACCCGGTGTCACCAAGTACTCGCGCGCAAGCGTAGCACAGTGGGTGATAAACTCGTCTGAGTGAATGCTGGGCCTGGAGGTCGAAGATGGCGTGGACTCCGTTCTGCTGTGCTGTGCAGTGGCAGTCTCCTCACTCATCCAGCCCCACGAGGTGCTCGACATCCACGACTTGAACAACCCCTTGGAGCCACTTTGAGCTTCCAAGACTTTATTGTAGTTGTACAACGTCGCGCTTTGATCAATCTCCACCAATCCGGCCTTGCGTCGGCGATGTCGCGAGGGAGTGCGTGGCTCAACCTGCTCAACGAAGTACACTGCCATGGAGAAGAGCACAATCACCATGGCGGTCCACTCAAGATTGTCATCGCGAGTCTCGCTATCAGCCTCGAGAAGGCGTAACCAGCGTTGGACCTCCCACCAGGCCACCATGATGCCGTCACCTGCTTTGTCGTCGTCCTGCAATGCAAACTGACAGGTCTCAATGACGTCTCTGACAAGTGCGTTGCGGGGCTCCAGCTGAATCTGCAGGCGATGCTTCCGACGCTGGTCATCAACTATATCAAGATGCCCGCGTTTGGACGGATGCTGAAGGCTGACAAGACTCAGTGGCGTGCTCGTCTCGATAACCTGAAGACACTGCTCCGGTGGTATGGTAGCTCCATCTATCGTCAAAGGGTTGACGATGGTCAGTGGCGTGGGTATGTCGATCTTAAACAGGTTACCCCAGGGTGCCTGTAGCGTCAGGTCGCCGCGCCCGTCGATTGTTCTGGTCATGATGAGGAGCCGCGAGACGCTTCCGTCATTGATCTTGCAGCAATCCAGCACATTGGCGGCATGACTCGCCTCGGTCATTTGCACGATGGTCTCGCGGTCATGGGGCCCATCAGTCACGCTAGTCGCAGAAGCTTGCCCTCGTGATGCTGACCGATGTGTCCGTTTTTTGCTATTCTTCTTGACCTTCTTCTCCTCGACTAATAGTGACAGTAGGACGAGCCCGCCCTTGACCTTGTCCATGATGCAAAAGGTCATGGGCATGGCTCTTTTCACGCAGTGAGCCTGTCGCTGTGAGTTGAGGATGGAGAACACTTCCCATCGAGCATGCCTACCTAGGCTGCTTGCCTGGCGGTGATCATTCTCATCGCCACCGTCATCGGTAGCCGAGGACACGCCGCACGGGAATGACGCAACCTTGCACAAGAGCAGTTCTTTG